CACACCACACACACAAAACATATACACCATACACATATACACACCATACACACACACACACACACACACACACACACACACACAAGGAAACAGAAATCAGAGGAAGAGATACTTTTAGTTAGCTCTGAAAAACACAGTCCCTATTTTTCAAAAGGGAAAGTCTCTGGGGTTTACGGGCAATGGGTGGAAGTGTCCCATGCTTGGCAGAATTCTTTGTTCACGGACTTGTTCTCTGACCTCTGTGACTAACACATCTGCAGGATGCTGGCTTGCCCCACCTTCTGTGTCCCTATAACCACACTGATTTTTATTAATTTATTACCTTGTGGGTGTACCTGCCATGGCATGGGTGTGGAGGTCAGAGGAAGTTATATTGATATACTATAGTAAAATTCCATCCGAATCAGCTGCCATCTAACAAAAGTTACATCATTTCACTGAATAGCTTCCACATGGCTCTTTCAGTCCCTGCCCTGCTTCTAGCCACCCTAGGAGAGGTCTGTTCTATATAACGAACAGTGAGCGCTGGCTCTAGATAGATGTGCCGGTGGGGAGGCAAAAGGAAGTTTAGCCTGCCTCAGTTTCCACATCAGAGAAAAAGGGGATCTTGAATGCCCCCACTGCTAGAAAGCAGCTTGGTCACTAGTATTCGATTCCCCGTTGTCACACACATTCTGCTAATCAGTACAGCCCAGCTCCGTCCTTCCTTCCTTCCTTCCTTCCTTCCTTCCTTCCTTCCTTCCTTCCATCCTTCCTTCCTTCCGTCCTTCCTTTCTCTTTCCTCCTTCTCTCCCCCACTGACTCCCTCCCTACCTCCCTCCTTCTCCCCACTCTTCTTTTCTTTTAAAGGTTTCTTTTCTATCTGAGTCAGCCAGTCACAAGTAGCCCAGACTGGTCTGGAATTCTCATGGATCTACTTGCCTCAACCTCTTGAGTGTTGGGACTGCAGAGGGTAATTTTTGCCCTGCTCTTGCTGGTCACATTAGCATAGCTCTAATCTTGGACTGGAGTCCCAAAGTCCCTGTTCTCCAAGAGTTCTGTCCATGACGAATTTTTTCTTTCTTTTTATTTTTTTACTTTTTTTTTTAAGACTCTTAGGCAGCTCTGGTTGACCTTAAACACATTATGCAGTCAAGAATGACCTGCAACTTGAGAACCTCCTGCCTCCACCTGGCTAGGGTTTCGGATTACAGGTTGTCACCTTATCTGGTTTATGTAGAAGTGTTTGAGCCTGATGCCTTGTACATGCCAGGCAAGCACTCTCCCAATTGGACCACATTCAGAACCATAGTACATTTTTCTAACCATTCTTACCTCAAGACCAGGAGTAAATTTAGCTGGGTGGTGGCACACACCTTAATCCCAGTGCTCTGGAGGCAGAGGCAGGCAGATTTCTGTGAATGTGAGGCCATTCTGATCTACAGAGTGAGCTTGACTTCCAGGGTGCCAGGGCCACACAGAAAAATCCTGTTTGGGAGGAGGTGTGTTTTGTTACATTTTCCTAGACTGGGTGATGGTTGTGCACACCTTTAATCCCAGCACTCAGAAAGAAGAGGCAGGTGGATCTCTAAGTATGAGGCCAACCTGGTCCCCAGAGCTAGTTCCAGGACAGACAGGACTACACGAAGAAACCTTGTCTTGAGAAAAAAATAAAAAGGAAGGAAGGAAGGAAAAAAGAAAAAAAGAAAAAAAGAATGATTAAAATTCCATTATTGATTATGGGTATTACAATATTCCTTGTAATTTCTTTCTGCACTAACCGAATATGAATCCTGCCTTTTCTGTGTGGTGCTGGGACAGGAAGAGCAACAGGGTTTGCTGAAGACACAGGAGCCTAAGGCTCCCATCAGCTAAGTCTGGAACAATTTGAGCAGCAATGTAAGAGAAATAGTAACGTATTGTAACCAACTGACTGAACAAGGAATCCAAACCCCCTAGGGATACAAATAGATACATAGGGATACAGTATGGCTCTACCTTATAGCCAGATGTCAGCTAACAGAGAATGAAAAGTTGGAGGAAAAACAGGATTTAGCATCTGTTAAGGCAATACTTGAGCATTTCAAAAGCCCATCTTGTAAGAAAATGAAACAGGAGTGAACATTTGTCAAACAGGGTATCTAAAAAGTCTAGAATTATCTGTCTATAAAATGTTAACTATCTCATAACAAATGCAAAATACTTTAAGTTCACTTTACAGAGAAAAAAAAACTTGGCAAGCACTGTCCTAACCAAATGATACAAAGTAACCTCATCACCATGGAGACAAATAAACATGGCAGGCATGCATAACAATCTTTCTTTAGGATTGCTGCCCAAAAGATAAACTGAATCTAGTTAGGGTTTTACCAACCTGCATTCTTCAAAGATGATAAGGTTACCAAAGAGAGACAAAAATTGTTTTAGGTAATAGTCAAGTGCATAGCTCAAGACTCGTGCTCAGATCACAGATTTGTGTAGGCCATTACTGGCATCGTTCACGACAAGTAGTTCTAGAATGGGGTTTGTGGATTAAATGTAATGAATATCTATTGGTTATGTAGGAGAGCCTTTGCTAGGACACACTTTGAAATGTTCACGTAATTGGAGAATGACAGAGGGAGGGAGGGAGGGAGAGAGGACTGTGATGGGGCAATGAGGCTAATTATTATGCGTGGCACATACGGGAACTCTGTAGAATTCCTTTAAGTGTAATAATTTTGAATAATAGAAGTTGAAAACATTAAAATCTTTAGATATTTTCTGGCCATTCATATATTAGTATCTTCACTGAATACTTTGCTTGAGCTATAGGAACTTCTGAATGACCGTGCACTGGGGGGCTTGTTAGATTAAGCAATACTACCCTGGCTTTGGACTCAGCTTCCTTGTCTGCAAATAGAAGACACCAATAGCCATCTCTTATTGGTTACTTTTCTTGTTACTGTGACCAACTGTCTGATAAGAAGCAATGGAAGGTTATGGAAAGGTGACTCAGAGGTCAAGAGCACTTGCTGCCTAGACAGTTATGTTCTATTGCTGTGAAGAGACACCATGACCCAGACAGCTCCTAAAAGACAGCATTTAACTAGGGGCTTGCTCACAGTTTCAGAGGGCTAGTCCATGAATGTCACAGCAGGGAGCCTGGCAGCAGGCAGGCAAGTACAGTACTGGAGCAGCAGCTGAGAGCTCACATCTGATCTGCAAGTTGCAGACAGGCAGAGAGGCTGGGCTAGTATGGGCTTTTAAACCTCAAAGCTCATTCTCGGTGACAACCTTCTCCAACAAGGGCCCACCTCCTAATCCTTTCCAAACAGTTCCACTAACTGGGAACCAAGCATTCAAACATAGGAGCATATAGGAGCCATTCTCATCCAAACCACCAAAGTGCTCTTACAGAGGGCCTTTAGTTCTGTTTCCAATACCCACATCAGCCAGGTGGTGGTGGCGGCACATGCCTTTAATCCCAGCACTTGGGAGGCAGGGGCAGGTGGATCTCGGTGAGTCCAAGGCGAGCCTGGTCTACAAAGTGAGTTCCAGGACAGCCAGGGCTATTACAAAGAGAAACTCTGTCTCAAAACAAAAACAAAAACAAAAACAAAAGAGATTTATTTTGTTATTTATGTGCATGAGTGTATGCTGTCTGTATGCATACATGTCCATGGAGGCCCTAAATTAGGATTGGCATGGGAAGTAGCTGTCAGTGGTTGGGATTACAGGTAAGAGGCATCATACCAGGCTAGGTTTCCTTTGGAGGGGGCATTAATTTGTTTCTAGGGAGGGTCAATACTATGTAATCCTGGCGGTAGTGAAACTCACTAGGCAGCCAAGGCTAGCCTTGAATTCATGGTGATTCTTTTACAACATAAGGGAACTCACAAAGACAGAAAATTCCTGTATCTAACAGAGTTCAATGGAGTGTGGGGGGGGAGCGGGAACAAGGTGGTGTTACCCAGTGTGGGAGAGTGCAGGGTTGGCAGGATGGAGAGGGTGGCACACCTGAGCGGCTCACATGGGCTCAGTCCCCAGCACAAAATAATTAATAATAATTCTAATAATCAATGATGATAATTGGCTTTTTTCTAAGCAAAGAAGGCTGAGGGTAAAGCTAGCATAGAAGTCTATCTGGGAACAGCAGTTACTCAGAATTTCAAATCAGAGCCAAACAACCCACTTCGACTACATTTTCTGGATATTTTTAAACCAAAGCCTCACAGGGCCAAAATCACTCAGGCAAATTCCATGAATGCTTTTTCTCCCTCCCCCCCCCAATTTTTCTAGACAGGAACAAAAACTACACAACTTCAATCTTCAGACTCATGAAGAGGGTTGTTTATACTGAGCAGTCTGATGACTAAGAAAAACCTTGCAGATCGTCCACACTACCAAGAGTGTTTTCTGAAGGGTGTCGCAGAGGTGACAAAGAGTATACCTTTTGAAGAAGCCTGTGGGGGTAAGGGCGTGGTAGGATAGGACTCCTCCCTATGGGTTGCCAGAACTGCAAAATCATTATTTAAACTTGCTGCAAGAGAAGGAAAAGTGTGTTTGTAAATAATATTTTCCGAGACAAGTATAACAGTACAACTGCCTTTGGGTACCTGTGGAGCTCTAGTTCTGGACCCCCTGGTGGACACCAGGGTCTGCAGATGCTCTGGTCCCTTCTAGACCATGGCATAGTGCCTGCACAGAACCTAAACATCCTTTGTAGACTTTAAACAAGCTAGATGACTTTAAATACCTAACACAATGTAGAAGCAATATAATGAGTGCTTGTATGATTATATCTTATTGTCGAGGCCCTAGACTCTAGGGAATAATGAGAAGGAAAATGCTGGTTTTCGTTGTTTCCTATTTTTCCACCTGAGATAAGTTGAATTAGGATGGAAAGCAAGCCTGTTCAGAAGAATTATGTGTCTTTTCTGCCCTTATCATGTTCCTCATTCCACAAGCTTTTAGCGCCCCTCTACATGAGGAGGTTAGGTGAAATCTAGAATGTGGGTGAGGTCATTCAAATCATTTCGTCACGTCTGGTATTGGCAGAGGACACGGGAATGCGTTAGGGGGGCACTGAGACCCACTGGACGCAATGGAGGTGTCATGAGGGAAACAGGTCGGGGCTGGTTCTGGGGGGAGGAGAAAGGAGAGGAGAGCTGACATTTCAGCGGGATCTCAAGGGCGGCTGAGTGGAATGAACAAGGTAAAGAACATTCCATAGCAAAGGGAGAGCAGGTGCAAACGTGTGCAGGACATTTGTCTTGGGATCTATGACCTAAAATGACCTCTCCTAAATAAGCTCTTAGGAGAGACTTTTAACCAGCCCCAGACAGAGTGCTGCTTCCTAGAAAAGAGAGCTCAGACAGACACAGGAAACACAGGGACAAAATAATACACCTGGGAAACCCCTGTGGCCACATTCTCCATCCCAGTCACAAACTTTACCTGATGCCTTCAAAAGCAAACACGCATGCACTTTTAACCTTACACAGACATTTTTAGATAGTAAACCCTCAAGAGTCCATAGTAAGAAATACTTTTTTGCCAGGCAGGGGTGGGGGATGGCCATGGTGGGGGACACACCTTTAAAGTGCATCTCTGGGTTCGAAGCCAGCGTGGTCTACAGAGTGAGTTCCAGGACCGACAGAGCCACATAGAGAAACCCTGTCTCAAAATATAAAAAAAAGAAAAAGAAAAGAAACCCATGTTTGCTCCTGTCTTTCTTTTTACCATCAAATGAGTGCCTACAATGTGCCAGCTTCAGTTTGTGTACCCTTTAACCTTTCTACCAGACTGACAAAGAGGTAATTCATCCTCAGTATCTAAAAGATAAATTAGGCTCTGAGAAATTAGGTATCTTGCTTGAAGACTGTTACTGGCAGAGCCAGGCTTTAAGCCAGGATTATTGGCTGCTAATTCCCATTGTTGCAGGTTGGTGGCGTAGCTCAATAGCAGAGCAGCTGACTCTGTATGGGGAATCCGGTGTCACCCTCAGCACCACAACAATAGTGATGATGATGGTGGTGGTGATGGTGATGATTCGATCCCACCAATGAGTACCATCTGACTGTGCAGAGTAAGCAGATGTGTAGATTGTCTATGAAACCCACTCAATAGTCCTCATAAATCTAAAATGCTTTTCAATTGGTGTCAGCGGTTCTGATCCCATTGTCCTCAACTCTCAGTTTCTTCAATCCATTTTTTTAAAATTTTTTTCCATTTTTATTATTTTTTTATTTTATTAGTTCAAATTAGGAACAAGCTTGCTTCACATGTCAATCCCTTCTTCCTCTCCCTCCCCTCCCCCCAACATCCCACCTGCCCCTACTCATGCCCCCTCCACTCCCCAGGCAGGGTAAGGCCCTCAAAAGGGGCTCCCCAAAGTCTACCACATTATCCTGGGCCAGGCCTAGGCCCTTCCCCATGTGTCCAGGTCAAGACAGCATCCCTTCATATGGGATGGGCTCTCAAAATCCCTTCTTTTCAATCCATTTTTTTAACTTAAAAAAGGTTTTTAAATTTATTCATTTGGTACGTGTATATGTGTGGGTCCTAGGAATTGAACTCAGGTCATCAGGCTTGGTGGCAAGTGCCCCTACTCACTGAGCTGTATTGTTGGGTTTGCCAAGCTACTTTTAATTTCCTCATGATAAAATTAAGGTAAGTCACCACAGGAAGAAATGCTTGGCAGAGAGAGAGAGAGAGAGAGAGAGAGAGAGAGAGAGAGAGAGAGAGAGAGAGAGCGAGAGTGAGATTTGGACAATGCAATATAAAAATTGGCTTGTTGTCTGTTTGATACTTTGAGGTCCTAAAAGACAATAAAGGGGCAACATAATCAATTTAAAAGTATTTTTATTACTATTTATTTGCATGTACATGTGTGTCTGTCTGTATATGTGCACAAGGCCATTCCCCAGAGTTCGAGTTACAAGCAGTTGTAAGTTGCCTAATGTGGATGCTGGGAATTGAACTCAGGTCCCTTGCAAGAACAATATATGTTCTTAACCGCTGGGCCATCTTTCCAGCTGTGTGTGTGTGTGTGTGTGTGTGTGTGTGTGTGTGTGCGTGCGTGCGTGCGTGCGTGTGTGTGTGTGTAGGCACCCTCCCATCTCTACTCCCTAGCAATGAGATTTTGGGTGTTTTTGGTTTTGTTTTGTTTTGTTTTGTTTTTTTGTTTTGTTTTGTTTTGTTTTTGATTTTTGAGACAGGGTTTCTCTATAGCTTTGGAGGTTGTCCTGGAACTCTCTCTGTAGACCAGGCTGGCCTCGAACTCACAGAGATCCACCTGCCTCTGCCTCCCGAGTGCTGGGAT